TATGATGAAGGCTCTGGGGAAATGAGCAGTTTGGGGCAGGGAGAGTCCTGGGCTCTGGGCACCGCAGCAGTGAGCACTGAGCAGAGAGGCCAAGGTAGAGAGGGGAGGTGCCCAAATGCACAAGGGCAAACTGTCACCCACCCCGCATCTGTGTTTGAGGCTTCCACACAGGGTGAAGTCCAGGCCCCTGTAACATCACTTCCCACATCCACAAAGAAGGAAGTGCCCTGATAATACCACGTCAATGCACATGGGCTGGCCGGGTACAGCAGCGAGGATTTGCGTCTGTGGCCAAGTTGGTTGTGATGGATGGTGGGTTATTGAGAAAGAGATTAGGAGGAGGTGGGTTTGACAAATAAACTTGAGTCATGTTAGGCAGATGAGGAAGTCATATCTGGTTCCCAGGGAAGACTGACACATGATAGGCCCTGGCTGGAGGAGCCACAGGGTGAGGAAGGAAAGAGACATGGCCAAGGGACCCTCAAATCCTACAAGTGTGTCTCAGTGATATGGGGGGCAAAGGGGATGAGCTTCCTCTCATGGAAAGACCATGGATTTAGATATCAAGCAACCTCATGACAACCTCAAACACTGGAGACTGGCCACATTATTTTCACAAATGAGAAACTGAGATTACAGAGGTCGTCGCTTGTCCAAGGCCATATGGTTGGTCAGACCAACGTCTGGACAGAATGGCACAGCACTGAGTTCAGCCTGGGCAAGTCACATAGCAGAACTGGTCCCACTATAGATTCAGAGACAGGGCTTGTCATGGGGGTTCTATACCGAGAGTCAGGGAAACCCCCCTTAGGCCAAGCACATGCTGGGGAAATGGTAGTTTCAGGGAGAGTCACAGGCTCTCCTGAAACAGGGATTGTTCCATTTTTCCTTACAAAAACCACTATGAAGTCTTTTTTTTTTTTTTTTTTTTTTTAGAGATAAGAAGAGAGAATGGGGAGGAAAGGTGGGGCCGAAGGAAAGGAGATTAGATTTTTTTTTTTTTTTATAATAAGAAAAAGAATAAAGAAGAGGAAGAAAGAGAAAGAGGAAGAGGGAGAGAGAATGGGGGTATTGCTTTATTGCCCGGGCTAGAATGCAGTCTAAATTTGGGTATGCCTATAATTGTGCTTAATAATGGAGACATAAAGGAAAATGAGGGAAGAGAATAACAAACAAAGAGCCAATCAACATTTCGTTTAAACTTCTAAGTTGATATGATGTGATACTGATAAGAGTGTATATTTTGTGTATTTAAAGTGGAGAGTTCTATAAATGTTAATTACGTTTACTTGTTCCAGATCTGAGTTCAAGTCTTGGATATCATTGTTAATTTTCTGTCTCCTTGATCTGTCTAATATTAATGTTGAAGTCTCCCACTATTATTGTGTGGGAGTCTAAGTCTCTTTATAAGTCTTGTACGTCTGGGTATTCCTGTATTGGGTGCGTATATATTTAGGATCTTTAGCTCTTCTTGTTGTTGCATTGATCCTTTTATCATTATATAATGTCCTTCTTTGCTTCTTTTGATCTTTGTTGCTTTAACGACTATTTTATCAGAGGCAAAAATTGTAACTTCTGCTTTTTATTTATATATTTTAGCTCTCTGGTTGGTAAATCTTTCTCCATCCCTTGTTTTGAGTCTTTGTGTATCCTTGAATGTGAGATGGGTGGGTCTGGATGCAGCATACTGATGGGTTTCAGTTTTTTATTCAAATTGCCTGTCTGTCTTTGGATTGGGGGATTTAGTCAATTTAAATTTAGAATTAAAATGATATATGTGAGTTTAATACTGCCATTTAATATTAGCTGGCTATTTTGCCCATTAGTTGATGTAAATTCTTCATTATATTGATGCTCTTTTTGGTATTTTTTAGAAAGGCTGATACTGTTTGTTCCTTTCTATGTGTAGTGGTTCTTTCAGAAGCTCTTGTAAAGCAGGCCCGGTGGTGATGAAATCTCTGAGTGCTTGCTTGTTCACAAAAAACTTTACTTTTCCTTCACTTATGAAGCTTAGTTTGGCTGGATGTGAAATTCTTGGTTGAAAGTTCTTTTCTTTAAGGATGTGAATATTGGTCCCCACTCTCTTCTGGCTTGTAGGGTTTCTGCTGAGAGATCTGCTGTAAGTCTAATAGGCTTCCCTTTGTGGGTAACCTGACCTTTCTCTCTGGCTGCCCTTAGTATTTTCTCCTTCATTTCAACCCTGGTGAATCTGACGATTATGTGCCTTGGAGTTGCTCTTCTTGAGGAATATCTTTGTGGTGTTCTCCGTATTACCTGGAGTTGAATATTATCCTGCCTTACTTGGTTGGGAAAATTTTCCTGAATAATATCCTGAAGCATATTTTCCAGCTTGGATTCATTCTCTTCGTCACATTCAGGTACACCTATCAAGCGTAGATTAGGTCTTCATTGAGTTGGTCTTCGACCTCTGATGTCCTTTCTTCTGCTTGATCAACTCGGCTGTTAAAACTCGTGCATACTTCACGAAGTTCTCGTATTGTGTTTTTCAGCTCCATCAATTCACTTATATTCCTCTCTAAATTGTGTATTCTTGTTAACATCTCGTCAAACCTTTTTTCAAAGTGCTTAGTTTCTTTAGATTGGGTTTGAACAAGTTCTTTTAATTCACAGAAGTTTCTTATTATCCACATTTTGAGGCCTGCGTCTGTAATTGGAACACACTTGTTCTCCATCAAGCCTTGTTTCGTTGCTGATGAGGAACTGGGATCCCCTGCTGAGGGAGAGGCATTCTGATCTTGGGTATTCTCAGCCTTTTTTGGCGGTTTTCTTCCCTTCGTTGTAGATTTATCCATCTGTGGTCTTTATAATTACCGTCTTTGTAATTGGGTTTCCGAGTGGACGTCCAACTTATTGATTCTCAGCGCCGAAATCTGAGCAACCCACTGCGCCGACTAAATCAGCGGCATTAAGATTGATGGTGCTTTTCTGACCCTGCACCAAGAACCGAAGCTCCGAGGCGCCGGCAAAACCGCCTCGCCGGTCACAAGAGTCGCGCTGGTGACCCGTGGGGCTCCTCCGCTGGGAATCTCCTGGTGCGAGAGCAACAAGAATTCATGTGTAGGTGTGGCGTCCTCTCGTTCTTTGTGCTTTCACCGGGAGCTACAATCCCGAGCTGCTAGTGATCAGCCATCTTGGATCTCTCTCCTGAAGTCTTTTTAAAAATTATTATTATATTTTCTCTGCTTTACTGATGAAGAAATGGAGTCTCAGAGAAGCTAAGTAACGTACCAAAGATCACACAGCTGGAAAGTGCCGGCAACAGGGTTTGAACCCAGCTCTCCTTATCTCTAAGTCCTTGGTTCATTTTTCTATAACACCACAGTCTGAGCAAGTGCACGAATTCCAGGTAGAAAATCCACTCACCCTTGTGGTCTCACAGCGACAGCAAATAGGGTGCCTTGTTGGGCCTCAGGTTATGCCTCTGTAAAATGCAAACCACCATTATGCCCATCCTTTAGGATTCAGTGGGATTATGGTCATAACATAGTTTTGTGCCTAGGACACAGTACTCAGGAAATGAGAGCTATTGTTACCAGATGGTTGTTTTCATTTTACAGATGAGAAAGCATTTAAGAGTCCCTTAATTTCTATTTACTCTAAAGAGCAAAGGCTGAAGTCTTGATTCAAAGCAATACATAAGAAACTCTGAAGTTCACTTGACCTTCTTCATTTCAGTTTGAGATAAGAAAAAGGAAGATGGGCATTTCAGGCACAGGGAATAAGTAGGCAAAGACGTGAGATGGGATTAGGTCTGTGCGAACAGGGCTGGTGTGGGGAAGCATAATGACATCAGATTTAGCCACTTTAGGGAGTGGCATCTTAAATGCCAAGCTGAGCTATCAGGGCTTCAATCCAATGTTTAGGCTCCACGTTACGGGAGCCTACCACATGCCAGAGCCTGCGCCTGGCAGAGCTGAGCCCTGGCACCAGCACTGTTTATAGCTGCCTGGTATGGCAGTGGTGATATCACCCTTAGAGACTTTGCCCTCTTCTCTGTGACCCAACCTTCAACCACCAGGGCAGTAGGTTATGTATTGCCTAGAAGACAACTGTAAGATTCAGGGGCCACTATAGATGTGATACCCGGGAGATAAGGGCGAGCTCAGGTGGGCCGGGGCCCTCACTCGCAGCAACCTTATGCAAGAGGCTGTATCATGCCCATTGGATGGAAGAGAAAACTAAGGTTCCATCAGAACCGATGTGACTTATCCTAAATCACACAGCTGCAGTAGAACTAGGATTTGAACTTGGGTCAATCTGCCTCCAGCACCACTGCTTTCTCCCCCATGCTGGATTAGGCTGTTGGCTTCTGAAAGGCACAGACATGTGAGATGGGTCAAACATGGCCTGGGAGCACCCAGGCATGGGCCAGAGATGGCAGGCAGAGGCGGGCTTAAAACCCGGAGCAAGGACTGGTTCGAAGGCTGTGGTAAACAGGACTGAGGAGAGGGAATGGGAGAGATGTGGGTCTTGAGGGCATGGGGCCTTGAGAACCCTGAGGTCGGCCACGTCTGCCCACTTTGCCCTGGGCCAACCTGTCTGTTGCATCCTTCCCTCAGAGAAAGGACCATGGGCTGACTTGGGGCAAGGACACCTGGCTGTAGCCCCTGCTCTGCCATTAAGTAGCTCCGTGACCTGGGGCAAGCCACTTTCCCTCCTGAGCCTCACTTTTCCTGTCTATAAAATGGCCTCCCTATCATCACACCCACACAGGTGTCTTGAGGCATGAACGATGGTGTGGTCGAAGGTCCCCAGGGGAAGCCCAGCACACAGCAGGTGCTCGGTCTTCAAGCACTGTGTTCCCATAGGCTCTCGGCTCCTGCCCTCCTCACCCCCAACCTCCTTCCTGGGAACCAGCCCGGCTTGTCAGAAAGCCAGCCAGCTGTCAACCCCACCCCAGCTGGCCAGTTAATGAGTGACCAGGACACCGGAGCCTGGCTATAAGAAGCTGCTAGGCAGGGACACAGGTGGGAGCCGGTGGACAGCGGGAGGGGGAGCATAGGAGCGCAATGGGCAGCAGGGCTGTGTCAGGGCTCCTGCCAGGGGTGGCCATGGTCCTCCTGCTGCTGCAGAGCACACAGTCAGTCTACATCCAGGTAAGTCCCTCAGTCAGTGTGCCCCCTGCCTGAAGGGCCCCACGGCGGGAGACCAGGCGGGAGAGGGTGTACTGGGAATTCAGAAGGCACAACGGGGGCATGGGACCCGGGGCTCAGCCCAACACCCGTCACAGCCCCGGGACCAAGGCAGCTGGGGGCGGGAGCAGCCAGACGTTGATGGCAGTGATGATGGCAATGACAATACCAAACCTGGTTCAGCACAGCTCCCCTCCAAGGCCCATCCTGGTCACAGAGGTCGGAGTGTGGAACAGGATGTGGCCCCTGCATGGGAGAAGCCCAGAAAGGGATGGAGATGCCCTGTTCTGCTCCCACAGCTCTCCATGTTCACCCACATGTGGGTGGAGGGGGACAGGCTCCAGAGCAGTTTTCCTGGCAGCTAACCCCTGAGCTTGCATTGCAAGATGAACAGGAGGTGGCCAGGCACAAAGGATGGGGGGACCGATCCGGGCCGAGAGCACAGCATGTGCAAAGGCCTGAGAGAAGACTGCAGGGGTTCAGGTGCCCTTCTAGGGGGCAGGGGAGACTAGCAGGGGTTGTTGCAAAAGGGCCTGTCTGCCACGTCGCAGGAGATGCTGCTGGCCTCGCCCAGCATAACAGAGAAGTCTGTGGCCCTGGGTGTCACATCCCTGACTCCAGACACGGGCTCCTTGGGAAGAACAAAGTAGGTCCCAGAGAGGGGTACAGGAGACTCGACCTCCCCAACAGTTCTGGCCTCGGAGACCGGCCTCTTGGGGCTGCCATGACTCTGCCATGCCAGCTCAGGCAGGCGTACCTCGTTGGCGAGTGTGTCCTCGTACCAGGGGATGTCAGATGAGAGAGCTGAGGCTGAGTGGGGAACAGACAGGCAGCCGGTCAGGGGCAGAGGTGGGATTTGAACCAGGGCTTGCCTGTCTCTAAGGGCCATGCCTCAAACCACCGTGCTCCACAGCCTTGCTGCCTCTTCCCACACGTCCCACCATCAGCAGCTCTTTCCAGTGTGGCCCTCGACTTCCCGTGGAAACGGGGAAGGCTCCAGAGGATCTGCGGGGTGCGGGCAACCCTGGGTGTCACGGCAGTCCCTGCCCCTGGCCCGGGTCTTGATCTGCTCCCATCCCCTCTCTGTAGTACCAAGGCTTCCGGGTCCAGCTGGAATCCATTAAGAAGCTGAGTGACCTGGAGGCACAGTGGGCACCCAGCCCCCGCCTGCGGGTACAGAGCCTGCTGCCCACCGTGTGCCACCATCCAGCTCTGCCCCTGGACCTCCAGCCTATCTGTACCTCCCAGGAGGCTTCCAGCATCTTCAAGACCTTGAGTAAGTGCCCTGCTCCCCGCAGACCCTCGTTCTGTCTTCTTCCACGCCCAGGAACCTCCTGTGGGTTGTTTCTCATAAGCACCCAGAGGCTGAGGATGGGGAGATTCAAGAAACTCAGGCCCCATCCCCACTGGCTCCCAGGACTCCCCGGTTTGGACGCTGAGAGTCGGGCATCCCCTTAGTCCACGCCAGGGACAGACCCATCAATGGACAATGGCTGCACGGAGCAGGGAGGAGGGCTGGCTGGCATCTGCAGTGGGATGGGGATCTGAAAGGCTTCCAAGAGGGGTTTCAGCCAAGCTGAAACCTGAGGGACAGTGCAGAGCTGGGCAGGAGAATGCAGTAACCAGCTAGCACTCACTGAGCGCCTACTGTGTGCTGGGACCTACTGGTCCCGTGGCCTGCATTATCTCCTCGCGGTGACCCTGTCCATTTAGCAGACGAGAAATCTCAGGCACAGAGTGTGAGCCACTTGCCCAGTCGCTGCTAGGAAAAAGAGCAGCTGGGACTTGAACCCAAGCTCTCACGCTGCCTGTAGCAGTTCCTGTTCCCAGTCTGTGGAAGACGCCACCCACTCCCAAGCAGGGCTTTTCTGCTGCCTGGCCACAGCGGACTCAGGTTCAGCTCAGCTGACCGGTTCTCTCCCTGCCCAGGAACCATCGCTAATGACGACTGTGAGCTGTGTGTGAACGTCGCGTGTACTGGCTGCCTCTGAGATGGCCCACCGAGGACACCCCAGCCTTCAGCCCACCACCTTGGCAGCCTCCCATCCCCCTCCATGCTCCAGCTGGGTCCCTGGCTACCATGGTCATCACCAGCCTCCCAGGGCCTGGACAGCTGGATCTGGTGCAAAGCAATTGGACACAGGGTTGGAGGGGCGGGCCCCTGAGGCAGCCCAGCTCCCAAATAAAGAACGTACAACACACAAGTCCACGTGTCCTTTGTTCATCCCCAGGAGCCGAGGGAGGATCTTCCGAGGAAACCATGTGGTTTGAGGAGAAAGGTTGGACTAAAATTACCAGGCAGGAATTTCCCTGAAGTTTCCAAGGCCTGGGGAGTTGATGATTAAACCCCATCCCGAATATGAGGGAGCCACCAGGTGCAGGGCAGGAATGAGGCATCCAGGATAAGAGCTCAGAAGCCACAGAGCCAGCCAGACCTGACCACCCCCAGGCTGAACTCAAGGCCACCCCCAGCTTTGGAGCAAGAGCAACCGTGCTCCAGACCCAGGGGTGGGGCCGGGGTGGGGAGGAAGTGAGACAGAAGGGGAGCGTGGAGGAAAGATTCAAGTGGCATGCCCTCCCAAGCCATAATCAGGGCCGACTCTGCCCGGGACTTGCCTGAGAAGGTGGACCCTTGGCCTTCATCCCCACTCCCGAGCTCCCACTTTTCCCAGCCCCACAGGATCCATCTGGCCAGCTCCAGTTAGGAGGCCTTTTCTCTGTCTCTCCATCCTGGCAGCTGAGGACTATTAATGATAATTAATAGCCAACAAAGGTCCGGCACAGTGGCTCACACCTGTACTTTGGGAGGCCAAGATAGGAGGATTGCTTGAGGCCATGAGTTCAAGACAAACCCGGGCAACATAGGGAGATCCCATCTCTATGAAAAAGTTGAAAATTAGCCAGGAGTGTTGGCACTTGCTTGTAGTCCCAGCTACTCAGGAGACTGAGGCAGGAGAATCACTTGAGTCTGGGAGGTTGAGGCCACAGTGGGCAGTGATCGTACCACTGCACTCCAGCCTTGGCTCATGCCTGTAATCCCAGCACTTTGGGAGGCCAAGGTGGGAGGATCACCTGAGGTCAGGAGTTTGAGACCAATCTGGCCAATATGGTGAAATCCCATCTCTACTAAATACAAAATTAGCCAGAAATGTAATCCCAGCTACTTGGGAGGCTGAGGCAAGAGAATCACTTGAACCCAGTAGGCAGAGGTTGCAGCGAGCTGAAATCATGCCACTGCACTCCAGTCTGGGCGACAAGAGCAAGACTCACTATCAAAAATCATAATAATAATAATAATTAGTATAATTAATAGCCAATGTTTACTGGGTGTTTGCTCTATTCTGGGCACCATCCTAATCACGTGGCACACATAGTAACTCATGGAGTCCTCACAACAGACCGATGAAGTAGATACTGTTATTATCACCACATCCAGGCTAAGAAGAGTCAGGTACAGAGAGACAACTAAGCCTAGATTATAGACCAAGCAAAGTGATGAGACAGGGTCCTTCCCAGGACATCTGGGCTGGAGTCCACACTCTGACCACCAAAAAGTCATCCTCAATGCCTTTATTCAGCCAGGGGGGCCACGGTGGGAACTCCTGGGAGCAGGGCCTTTCCAGAGTAGGCTCCCCCAAAGCCTTGGTCCTGGGGAGCCAGGGTGGAGCCAAGCCAGAGGCCAAGGGATTGTGTTATCAGAACTCAGCTCCAGAAGACCAGGGTGCATGCCCTAGACAGCTGCTTAGTTCTGCTCATCAGGCTACAGTTTCCTCCTTGCCCTCACCCCACAGGCAAGGCTGGTGGAGGGCCTTTGCAATGTCTCCTGCAGCTCTCTGGGCCCCCACTTCTCACTCCTCCATCCTCACTCACTGGGGCCTTTATCACACTACCCTTGGGCCAGGCCAGAGCCTCCTTCCTGGTCTTCATCCTGTGGATGCTCCATGCCCACCATGCCAGAGGAGCATGGCAGCACCACCCTGATGGCGCCCCACTGCCATCTACCAAGTCTAACCTGAGCTCATGCACTATCTGGACTCATCTCCCACTGCTCCTGCAGCTAGGCTGGATTCCCACTTGCCTGCTGGAGACAGCAAAGCGAACTGCCGCTGACTGAGTCCCTACCACGTGCCAGCCACACGGCTGCGCTGCTGCCCAGAAGCAGTAATGACAGCGGCATTGACAAGCTGCTCGCTGTGGGTCTGGCAGAGCTTTTTCTTTCCCTTCTCCTTTCTTTGTTTACCATCTCCCCATTTCCTCTCACGCCCAGCCCCTGGTAACCACTATTCTACTCTACTTCTATGAGTTCAACTTTTTTTAGATTCCACATTTAAGTGAGATCACGTAGTATTTGTCATTCTGCACCTGGGTTATTTCACTTGGCATCGTGTCCCCCGGTTTCATCCACTTCGTCACAGATGACAGGATTTTTTTTTTAAGGCTGAATATTATTCCATTGTGTGTATATATATCACATTTCCTTTATCCATTCATTTGCTGACGGACACTTAGGTTGGCTCTATTTCTTGACTATTGTGAATATGACAGTGTAGATATTTCTTTGACATACTGATTTCATTTCTTTTGGCTATATGTCCAGAAGTGGGATTGCTGGATTGTGTGGCATTTCTATTTTTGCTTTTTTGAGGAATCTTCATACTGTTTTCCATAAGGGCTATGCTAAATTATATTCCTACCAACAGTGTGTGAGAGTTCCATTTTCTCCACATTTTTGCCAACCCTTGTTTTCTTTTCTTTTTGCTAGTGTTTGTCTGTTTGTCTGTCTGTTTGTTTGTTCCAGATGGGATTTTGCTGTGTTGCCCAGGTTGGTCTCAAACTCCCAGACTCAAGTGATCCTCCTTTCTCAGCCTCTCAAGTAGCTAGGATTAGATACAGGTGGGTGCCACCATGCCCAGCAAGCATCTTTTTTTTTTTTTTTTTTTTTTACAAAAGTCCTTCTTACAGATGTGAGATGATATCCCCTCATGACTTTAATCTGCCTTCCCCTGTTGATTGGTGATGCTGAGCACCTTCTCATATACCTCCTGGCCTTTTGTATGTCTTCTTTTGAAAAATGTCACCAGGTGCGGTGGCTCACACCTGTAATCCCAGCACTTCGGGAGGCCGAGGCAGGTGGATCACTTGAGGTCAGGAATGCTGGACCAGCTTGACCAACATGGTGAAATCCATCTCTATTAAAAATGCAAAAATTAGCCAGGCATGGTGGTGCATGCTGGTAATCCCAGCTACGCAGGAGGCTGAGACAGGAGAATCCATTGAACCAGGGAGGGGGAGGTTGCAGTGAGCCAAGATCCTGCCATTGCACTCCAGTCTGGGTGACAGAGGGAGACTCTGTCTCAAAAAGAAGAAAAGAGAAGAAAAGAAAAGAAAAATGTCCATTCAGTTCCTTTTCCTGTTTTTAAATTGGGTTGTTTTCTTGCTATTGAGTTGCTTGAATTCTGCATATATTTTGGATATTAATCCACTAGCATATGTTTAGTTTGAAATATTTTGTCTCATTCCATAGATTCTTTTCATTCTTCGCCTGTGCGGAAGCAGTTTACTTTAATGCACTCCTTTTTGTCTATTTCGGTTTTATTGCCTGTGGTTTTGGGATCATAGGCAAGAAATCGTTGCCAAGACCAATGTCAAGAAGCTTTTCTCCTATGTTTCCTATGGCATTTTTTTTTTTTTTTTTTTTTTTTTTTTTTTTTTTGAGGCAAGGTCTCACTATGCTGTGTTTACTAGCCTCGAATTCCTGGGCTCCAGTGATCCTCCTGCCTCAAGCTTCCACGTAGCTGGGACTTCAGGGGTTCACCACTGCTCCTGGTTTCTTTTAGTAGTTTTACAGTTTCAGGTTTTAAGTTTAAGATTTTAATCCATTTTGGGTTAATTTTTGTGCATGAGTTAATTTTTGTGAAATTAGACACAATAAGTGTCTAATTTCATTTTTCTGCATGTCCCAATACTATTTATTGAAGAGACTGTCCTTTCCCCATAGTGTGATCTTGGCACTTTTGTCGAAGATTAGACTGTAAATGTGTAAATTTATTTCTGGCCCCTCTCTGTTCTGCTCCATTAGTCTCTATGTCTGTTTTGTAACAGTATTGTGCTGTTTTATTTACTACAGCTCTGTAGTAGATTTTGAGATCAGGCAGTGTGATGCTTCCAGCTTTTTCTTTTTTGTTCAGGATTGCTTTGGGTATTTGGGGTATTCTGTGGTTCCCTATGCATTTTAGGATTGTTTTTTCTATTTCCGTGAAAAAATGTAATTGGAATTTTGATAGGGATTGTACTGAATCTGTGGATCATTCTGGATAGCATAAACATTTTTAAAATATTAATTCTTCCAATCCACGAACATGGAATATGTTTCCATTTATTTGCATCTTCCTTAATTTCTTTTATCATAGATTTATGTTTTCTAGTGTATGATTCTTTTACATCATTGGCTAAATTTATTCCTAAGATGTTTGTTGTTGTTGTTGTTGCTGTTTAAATTGTTTTCTTAATTTTTCAGATCATTAATTGTTAATTACAGAAATGCTACTGATTTTTGCATGTTGATTTTGTAATCTGCAACTGTACTAAATTTGCTTATTAGTTCTAATAGCTTTTTAGTAAAGTTTTTAGAGTTTTCTATATGTAAGATTATATCATTTGCAACTGGAGACAATTTAACTTCTTCCTTTCCAAGTTGGATGCTTTTTTGTTTCTTTTTCTTGCTTAATTGCTCTGGTTAGGACTTTCAGTACAGAACTATGTTGAATAAAAGTGGCAAGAATGTGCACCTTTGTCTTGTTCCTGATCTTAAAGGGATCGCTTTCAATTTTGAGTCTTCTCCCTTTTTCTTATTCTAGCTAACGGTTTTGTAATTTTATCTTTTCAAAAACCCAACTCTTAGTTTTGTTGATCTTTTCTATTGTTTTTCTAGTATCTATTTCAGTTATTTCTGCTCTGATCTTTTCTTTCCTAAACTTTGGGCTTAACTTGTTCTTTTTCTAGTTCCTTGAGATGTAACAATAGGTTGTTTATATAAAATCTTTCTTATTTTTCAATGTAGGCATTTATTGCTATAAATGTCCCTCTTTGAACTGCTTTTGCTGCATGCCGTAAGCTTTTGTATGTTGTACTGCCATTTTCACTTGTCTCGAGATATTTTTCAATCTCCCTTTTGATTTCTTATTTGATCCAGTGGTTA